TAAGGCCTCTCACAATATGTATATTCACATAACTCAAAAGCTGACACACTTTAATCATTATACATCTTTCACATCTATGTACCATTATTACACAAAAGTAATTTGGTTATTTAATTGGCGAAATTTCTGAAATTCCTTCACATCGGATATGCGTAGGTATGCATCGTTAAAAGACTATACTTGAACATACTTGAATACACACACGCACGAACGGCACTTCAATTTTTCGCAAACGCCATAGAAAAATTCTTTTATGCGTATTTCATAATATATATTTTTAGGAAATTACTTTTTGTGTGTCTTTTTTTTTCATTGAGCGCATTCAGTCAAAATGTGCTTTATGAAATTTGCTATTATTAAAAATAGCTTTCTTTTCCGAAGAAAAATTTTATTACTGGCCTTTCGCGTTGACAAATGTCATTTGCGTAAGTACATGACTCCTTGTAGGATGCAGTGCGCATGCCATTTAATGTAGAGCTTTTTTATTTAACAGTGGAGTTTCAACTCTATGCCATATTATGTGCACATATTTAAATTCTATTCATGGCATAACATAAAATGACCCTGCTTATATACATATTTTCAAACACATTTGTTACCCAGCTAAGGTATTTAGAATTTTGGTAAATCGCTTGATTTGTATTCTATTTTCTGTTTCAAAAAAAATATAAAATTTTTTTTAACCCCCTCTTCAATATTACGTTAAAAAGGTCGCGCATCGTAGTTTTCTATTTTCCATATATGTATGTAAATTACTTATGGCGTTTCGTTTCTACAAAAAATGTCGCCTTTTCATTGCCCTCTTCTGAATATTTGTGCTTAGAGGGCAAAGAGAAGGTAACGTTTTTCGGTAGAAACGAAAACGCCATTATAAAAATATTGTTTTCAACTTTAGAATTTGTTTTGTCATCCTTGAATTTTCGAGAAGTCCGATATTTTTGTAGGAAGTCCGATTTTGAGTACCTACTCACGCTTTTATTGATCAACGGTTTGGCATCAAACATTTTTTTACAACATTCACATATACATATATTATATTTAATTCAAATATGAATTAATGAAACAGAAAAATTTGAAAATATCTATTGTCAACTCAAATATTTATAAAGGCGAGTTAAGAATCGAGTAGAATAAAACAAGGACAAGTCAGTTGACTGAAGTTTATTATTGGTTATCTAGTAACTATAATACGGTACATTAAATTCGTTTTGATTTTTTAAATATGTAGTAGGTGGCATGTACAATGGAAGGCTTTTCAAACCTCCTTGGATGATGCTTTTTTCCTCTTAAAACATCTTATTTACAATGTAGATATTAAAGTATATTAGTAATTCTTTTAATAGTTTAAAATTTTCTAGTGGTTGGCAACCTTAGGTCACATAAAAAAGAATGCTCGTAACAAGTATCAAATTGCTATTTTTGAGTGTATTCTTTCTGTTGAAAACGTAAAACATATACAGGCGGACTACCATTTTCGTTAAATATTTTCGATTTAATGTCCAAGTCTAAATAATCAGCCTTATCATGAGTTTCATTTTCCCTGAACCGGTTCACTTTTCACTCTTGGTTTCCATGGTTTTACTATGGGCGGATGAAAAATATTCGGGTGATTTTTTTTCCAAAATTCAAAATCCATAAATCGGAAATTTTCGAATCAGTTGCTGTGGAAACGGTGAAATGAGAAAGTTTTTTTTTCGTAAAACGTATGTCGAAGACACCGGCTGAAAGGTGCTAAGAAATTAAACACCATGGCGCATACGCAACTTAAGTTTTTTTGCAGATATATACATACATACATAGGTATGGTCCATACATATGCATGTAAATATGTAAATACCCAGCGAGCAGAGAAATGTACATTTTGCCGACAGTGCGGTCTCGTACAATTTTGCGTTTCCGGAAACGAACAGGATGCGACTGCAATTATCGTTCATTTTTGTACCCGGAAAACGTTCGAAAATCATAAGCACACTTTCGTGGGAAAACGAATATTCATAGTATGTATTCGAAACTTGAATAGATAATGGACTTTTTTCCTTTTTCGGATGCATTTTCGTTATTTTTTGTTGGCTGGGTACATATTAGGGATGTTGCGAAAGTAGAATTTTAGATATCAGCAGATGGAATGCGGATGCGGAATACTCGAGAATACTCGACTTCTTAAGAAATAATTTAGGTAATTTGGTCAAAGAACTCCTCATTCGCCATGCTTTTAGCTGTTTCGGACTACCTTTTTTTTGTTTTTAGTTTTTTGTATTTCAGTTTTAAACCCTTTTCCTGTGACTGGGTTGAAAAATTGTTATGGATTATCCTGTCCTATATGTAACTACTTACGTACATATGTATATTTGAACCTAGCCTCTTTTTAAACAGATACTGTGATGTGTTACAATTTTTGATTTATTTAAAAATATAAAACATGCAATATTCATTCTATGATCAGACTGCATCTATTGTCTATGTAAATGGTTAAATAAACGACTGAGTATTGTTATATAGGAAGTCTCCTAAACAGAAACAGAGTTTTTCGATCGAAAAATATTGATTTTCAAGAATTCTATACCATTTCTACGAAAAAGTGTTTAACAACAAAATACGGTAATTTTTTATTTCATTTATAAAAATCCGAGGCGAGAACTTGACAATTTAAACTTTTTTTGGACCACGTTAGTTTTCAAACTACCTTCGGTTACATAGGGCCTGTGCCAATTGATAGAAAAGTTCTCTGGATAGTAAATTTTTGACAGCTATGAGGTGAATAAAAATGTTTGATACGGCAGGGCTAGTGAAAAATTTGACAGCAAGCATTATCAAGAAGAAGAACGAACAACGCACGTATACACATAAATTAAAGAAAACAAAAGCGAGTGGAAATAAAAGAACATGGTCCCGCCGGCAAAAAAAATAAAGAAAAGCTATATAACTTGTAAGATTTAATTTCAGATTTACATATGAAAAGGCGTTATGTATTTTTTTAATTAAAAATACTATTTTACAGGGAGCAGTTCAGAACGCAGAATCCTTCTGGAAAAGCGCATTGACAAGGATGTTTGGTTCAGTTCAAAGAACGCCAACAGCAACGAAGGCTGGAAGTGAGTAAGAATATAAATAATTTGAAGACTTTATTAAGCAAATGACTTCGTACTCCACTGACCATCCGTGGCGCTTTTTGGGAATGTGAGTTACAATTTTTCGAAACGAAGCAGAGGACAACCTAAGATACATTTTTGTAGTCTTGTTATCGCCGTTCATAATGCTGCTTAGTATTTTGGAATAAACGTCTTGTTGCATGTACATAATACCCTAAAACGACATATGTTTTTATTGGAAACAATTGTACACGGTTTTAAACATTTTTGTGAACACACTTACCAGACGGTTTTGACGTGTTTTTATTTCTAATATTACTGCTAAAAGGTCTAATAAATGCATGGATTTCAGTTCCAGAAGAATTGAAATCATCAAAGGCAAATATTTTCTATATAATTGCTGCATTTTATAAATTGCAAACTCGATAGTCTTCTTGTGCATCAAAGCAACTGTCAAAAATTTCCAGCAGTAAAAAGTTACGAATTGGCACAGCAGAAATGTAAAATTTTCTCACCATAGTAAAAAGTTTTTCCACCATAGAACTTTTCTATCAATTGGCACAGGCCCATAGATGTCGATATTTGGGCTTATTTTTTTAAGTAAATTAAATGCAGTGTTGCCAAATTTTGAATTTGAAAAAGCACTAAACCCAAGAAAAATCGCATTCCACAATCGCAAAAAGCCACATTTTGTGCCCGGAATCCACAAATCAGCTCTAAACAATGATTTAACGTGTATTTATCTTATATGGCTAATAAAATTACCAAATAACTACATTTTCTGAAAATTCTGTGGCATTTTCCACTTTTGTGTTTTATAAAATATGCTTTCGGATTTAAACCACAACAGCTATTATATCAAATTGCCTTTTGCACATTTGTGCCCGGAAAAAAGGCCGGGCTGTTTCGTGCACAAAGAAGTAGACATTTACGGTCCAAATGTGGAATGTATTCACCCTCTATTACCCTTTTTTTTAGCGTGCGGAACGCTTTCTGGGCTGTTTTGGGCACCCACGGGTACCCGCGGGCTCGTATGAAACAAACCTATTAACATCACCTTGTATAGGCTTTGTTTCTTTTCTTTTCTAGCAGATAATTATCAGGAAGAAGAGGAATGGGAAAATTGAGAGAGTTACGCTGACAGAGAGCGAAATAAGTAGGTTCTTTCCCTAACAATCCGGACCGGATCCGGTAATTATAGAATAAGCGAAAAGTTTGCTCTCAAAAGTGAAACATAGTCCAGATGTACGGGAACGCGAAAAACCACATTTCGTACACAGAATTTGAGAAACAGCTGATCCGCATTGTTTTTGTTTTTGTCACTTAAATGCAAACTCTTGGAAATACAATTTTTGTTTCACTATTTGATTTTAAGTATATATAGATTGAAAACACATCAACCGGCCATTCACTATACCTTAAAAACACCAAGTAAATGCAGGCAACATGTAAACAAAAAACAGCTGATATGCACTTTGACACTTTATCCATTTTTACCCGGAGAAAAAGTCCGGGCTCTTCGGGCAGGAAGAAGCAGACACTTACGATCCAATACGTTCCAATTTTCGCTCTATTACGCATTTCGTTGAGTACGGAAATGATTTCTGGGCTGAACCTAATATGTGATAATTATCTGTTAAGAAACAAAGTTATATAGGCAGGTTCTGCAATTCACTTCCGAGTGAATTTCAACCCCTGCAAATTTGAATTCAAAGCGAGTATGACAGAAGTTCACCCGGAATTGAATTTCAGAACCCGCCTGAGTGATGCGCCTTGGTTAGCGGTATCACAATAAGCGCCACCTTCTGTATTCGTTTCACCATGGGAGTTCCAGCTTAAATTCGCCTTGCGTCAGCTGTTAGATCGATAAATTATCAGCTATCGATTATTTACCGGCAACCACCGATCATTTTGATAAGAAAATCATATGTTTTGCGTTGTTGTTGTACTCTTTCTGCATAAATTTTGCATTTTTTAAAAGCTTTTTTAATCTTTAAACCACTTAATTTTCTAATCAATAAATTAATTAATTGGTGTGCAATGCTCCAGATACGTTCGAATCTCTATAGTAGAGTGCTAAGACCGCTAGGAAATCTCTCTACGATGCTGCAAAACCACATTCACACCGAAACTAAAGTGCAGATTAATCATGACGTCGCTGTCAACTATGTACAAAGCGGCAATGGTGAAAAAAGTGTGCTACTAATGCCAGGGGCACTAGGCTCCGCATGGACAGATTTCAAACCGCAAATTGAGCAGTTACCAGAACTGTTGTCTGATCACACAATCATCGCATGGGATCCGCCAGGCTATGGGAAATCCCGACCACCGGCACGAAATTTTGATCTCGACTTCTTCCAAAAAGATGCACGCTATGCTGTTGATTTGATGCACGCCTTAGGGCGACCCAAATTCTCTATATTAGGTTGGAGTGATGGCGGTATAACTGGTTTAATTATAGCTGGCCGCTTTGCCGAATGTGTTGACAAATTAATTATTTGGGGGGCAGGAGCGTATTTAAATGCTGAGGAAGAAAAAGCTTTACAAGGCAAGTAGATTTTAGTTGTGCTCACTTCATAATACTTCATTATATTATATATATTCACTTATCATCTCTAAAGCCATACGTGATGTACAAAAGTGGTCGCCACGTATGCGTGAGCCAATGGAAAAAGTCTATGGAGTAGAGGAATTCGCGAAATTGTGGGCTGAATGGGTTGATGCCGCTGCTGCAATTTATAAAGAACGCAAGGGCGACTTCTGTTGTGCTGAAGTAAAACAAGTGAAGGCATCGACTTTTATATTGCACGGAAAAAAAGATCCTATGATTGCTGCTGAACATATACCTTACCTGAAAGAACGCATACCAGGCTGCCAGTAAGAAAGTTATAAATTTACATACATATCTTCATCATTAATGCAAAATTTTATGTTGGACATTTTGTCGGAAGATCTTTTTTTTAATAATTCGAAGCACTTCCCTATGCTTTTGTTGTTTGCTTCTACTTCTCAAAAATGTGAGATATACATACATATGTACATTAGACTGCATCACTCCCCATACAAAAGAAAGTCGGTACTATTTTTCCATTGGAATTATAAAAACTATTATAAATTAAGAAGTCCACCAAAATATTTCGGAAAAATATTAAGATTTAAGTGAGCTGGACCGATTTGAAAATACCTCCAAAAATGGAGTTTTTTATGAATAACAATAGAGATTTTTTTTTGAAAAAATCCCCTCAAATGACAAAACGGTTTAAGCTTAAAATATGTGTATAAAAATGTTTAAAAAAAATTTTGAACGGAATCGTAATGATGATATTTTTTGATGCTGTTTTTTAACTTTTTTCAAAGTTTGGTATAGGAAAAACTTGAATAACTGAACCTAAACTCTTCCGATTTAGACTTGAGAGGTGTCATTGGAAAGGTATTTTCTCACCCTTTTTATTTCTTTGCTAATAAACTCACTCAAAGTATGAAAGAGAAAGGTAGGATAAACGAATATCATTCAAAGTTGAATTAAGATGTGTTGGTATTCGAAAAAACAAGATGGGCCACGAATGACGTTTTTTTGGCCAGAAATAAAAACAGTGTGAAAATACCTTTCTACTGAGATCCCATAAGTCTAAATCAGAACATTTTTGACCCGGTTATTCAAGTTTGTCATCAAAAATCTCATTCTTACGATTCCGTTGAAAAGATTTTCAAATATTTTTATGCCGATTTTTTAAGCTTAATCTAATTTGTCATCTGAGGGGACTTTTTTCAAAAAGTTCTTTAAGAACGTATTTTTATTCATAAAAAACATCATTTTTGGAGGTATTTTCAAATCGGTCCAGCTCGCTTTAATCTTTATATTTTTCCGAAATATTTTAGTGGACGTCTTAAAATATAATAAATTTTGTAATCCCGGCGGAAAACCGCAACTTTTTTTGGTGATGCAGTCTAATGTACATACATACATACATACATACATAGGTACATATCAGGGAAGTTGCGAATATTTGAATTTGCATTCGCATCAAATGATACGAATGTTTTGCGAATGCGAATGTGTGCATGGGCAGAGAGTCCACTCTACTATCGTTGAAATAACTCTAAGTCTGTCTAACCAAGGTGCGAACAATAACCGGCCTTTAGCTAAACTAAAATACTATTAATTGACAAATCTGGCTTCAAATATTTGAGCACTCCACCCGCCAGCGTTCCAAGTGAGCAATTGTTCTGTGCAGCCGGCTTTATATACGAGCCTCTAAGAAATCGCCTCATGGGAAAAAAGTCAGATAACTACTTTTTTGAAACTTTTTTAGTAGCCCCTTTTGAACTTTGGCTACTACATTAAAATACATGATTTAATAATCATTATTGAGTTATGATTAAAATACTGTATAGGTTAAGCTCTCGTTCAATTATATAATAATTCACACAATTTTTAAGTTATAAAAACGATGACTTACGTTGATTATAGCCTTTTTTAATGTAATTCTAACATTCGCATTCGCATTCCGAAAATTCGCATTCGCGAATGTGAAAAATATGACATTCGTAACATCCCTAGTATATACATATGTACATAGCTTATCTTAAATGCATTTTATGAAATCATATTTTTGTCTACATAGCTTTTGCCTGGATTAAAATAACATGACTTGCATTTTTTTATTTTTTATTTAGCGATATATGTACTAATGCATTCATAACTAAGGTTGGATATTTTTATTTCAGATATTACGAGTTCCCTGAAGGTAAACATAACATTCACTTGCGCTACGCTGACGAATTTAATAAATTGGTTGCGGATTTCTTGTTGCAAAAATAATAATGTCCCTTATGGGGACTCTAAATTAAAGTTGGGAATTTTCTTACAACCTGTATACAGAGATGAGAACTTCCGAAGCCATTATCAACACAAATACGCACTACCAAGCAAAAATAAATGTCATATATTTTTATAGGACAGTTCTAAAGTATAGATAATATAATTTTCAAAGTGTCAATTTGTGTACACTGCCAGAACAAAGTATTGGCACAGCAAATTTTTCACAATATATGCAACTATTTTCATTCTAATATTTTTCCCCTAATTTCGTATAAAAATATGGTTCATTCTACAACAAAAAACATAATATAATTCCTTAACTTTGTACAAAACTCGCGAAAATTCAGCAAATTTTCAACTTTTTAATTAAATTTTTTGATGTGTATGCAGATTGTAGCCCAATCAATTTTATTATAATAAAGTGCAAGTTTTAAGTAGCTAGAAATTACCGTTGATTTTTGGCAGTTTCTTTTACGCAGTCTCTTCCATACAAAAAATGTTTTTTCGAAAATACATACTTTATATGGAAAAAATGCAAAACACCTTCAACAAAAAAAAAATCTCAAAAATCAACGCGATTTTTGACTAACTCCGAACTTGCAGTTTTTTACTAGAATTTAATGGGCTGCAAATGCATATAAAAGTGAGCTTAAGCTCCGCCTCGACTTTCTGTACAAATTCTTGAGCTTGAGATCACTCCATCAGTGCGAAAATTGAGTCTGAGCTTATGCATAGTTTTTATGCGTAAGGCCCAATGTTACTCATACGCCATATCGTACATGACCAAATGTGCCCCTACTCCAACATGGCGTATGAGTAACATATTTCATGTTGAAGTCGGATTTGTTTTCATTCGCAATGCAAACTTAAAATGAAAATATCTTGGCGAAAATAAGTTGCGTTCCAGATGCGTCACGATATTAACGATTTGCAGGAACAGATGTTTTCTCCATTACTAAACCTTATGGAAGGTAGTCACCTGGAACGACGACCCTGCAAATCGTGAAGCATCTGGAACGCAACTATTATCAAACTTATTTATAGGCCGATTTGGCTGCTTTTTATGTTGTTGTTTTTATAATTGATACTGGTTATGTAAGCAGAAACATTTTTGTCAAAAATGGTCTCGCCAGGGTGGAGATATTTTGAAAAATCGTATTTCTGATTTGTTTCACATTTGGCATGTTTAGTTGAAGTAAAAAGTACATTCGGTATAAAATACATGTTTTCTTCGTTCAAAAACAATACTAGCAAAACTGTCAATGGAGTTTTAGCAACGTAATGCCTACTGCCTACTTAAAATCCAATTAAAACTCTTTAAATTTTTACCAAAGTTTGTTGAAATATTTAAATATTGCATAAAGTTTGAATCTTGGATTTATACTAATCCTGTTAAAGAATAAATTATATTTTTATAAAAAAATAACTAAACTGAAATATAAAAAAAATAAAATAAAATGTTAAGACTGATCAATATGTGGTGCGCATATAATTTTACAGCAGCATAACTAACATGTACATAAATAAGTCCTTGTACTTTTGTTCAATAATAATATATGCAAATCACTTTAAATTACAAACGAAGTCGTATTTACATTTGTATATACATATGTACGAGTATGTACAATATTTGTTTTAAATTATTCTGTGATGCTCTACGTTGAAAGCGTGGCTTTTAATATAGGTACATAGTCATCGTATTGTGCCTCATAAAAATTTCCAGCGATTGGTTCACCTAAATTGAATTTGGTAATATATTCTCTTGTCTTCATTTTATAACGGCCTGCGACAGAGCTGCATACAAAAATAAATAATACACATATGTACATATTTTAGTAAAGAACACTATCTAATGTTATGTTTAGATATGTATGTGTGTATGTATGTAGACAAAAAACTTACGTTTTCGGAATGAATGTTTGTGCTTCAATTTTATTTGCCTGCTTGAAGACTAGAAAAACGTAGCGGTGCAGTCCAGTGCCCTCTGGAGGACCAGAACCGATATATTCTGCTACAATTTGACCCTCAGCTACTTTATTTCCAGGAATATTAACTACAAACCAATGCAGAATTTCACGATAGGTGGGCTCAGCACGCGACGGGGCATCTGGATCGATCATCAGTAATGTATATAGAGCATCATTATCTGCTTCCCAAGTAACTGTAGGTTCATCCTTCACCTGAGTAGGAGTAAGTTCTTTACCTAGCTCTACCTTGGTACCGCTGGGATAACTGACCTAAATTATAATATAAGATATATGCATACATATGTTTTTTTTTTTTAACTGTATATTACCTCCAGGCATGCTTCGGGCTTGGTATCAATAATGTCTGGGGTTATGCCACTCGTATCCATTATTCTGCCTTGCCAAATAAAACTAAACGCCGGGATTGTCCACAGAAACGTTTGTTTATATATACATATGCAGCTCTTACCATTATCAGTGTAAAAATTTTTTTGTATTAATGAAATATTTGATAAAAAACTTGCATGCATGATTCCAAGTACTGATAACAATATCTACGAGTTCATATATATGTATTGAAGTACCGCAACTTATTATCTGGCACTTACCACAAGTGTGACCGCGGGCTTGTGAAAAATTGTAGCAGAGCANTTGTTTATATATACATATGCAGCTCTTACCATTATCAGTGTAAAAATTTTTTTGTATTAATGAAATATTTGATAAAAAACTTGCATGCATGATTCCAAGTACTGATAACAATATCTACGAGTTCATATATATGTATTGAAGTACCGCAACTTATTATCTGGCACTTACCACAAGTGTGACCGCGGGCTTGTGAAAAATTGTAGCAGAGCAGACTTTAAATATATCAATACGTATCACTTGTTTTTCATTTTAAGTATCAACGTATCAGTATGGAATAATATGTCTTATATATAATCTTAAAACAAAGTTCAATATAGCATTGCTGAATATTTTTATTTTNGCCTTGCCAAATAAAACTAAACGCCGGGATTGTCCACAGAAACGTTCGTTTATATATACATATGCAGCTCTTACCATTATCAGTGTAAAAATTTTTTTGTATTAATGAAATATTTGATAAAATACTTGCATGCATGATTCCAAGTATTGATAACAATATCTACGAGTTCATATATATGTATTGAAGTACCGCAACTTATTATCTGGCACTTACCACAAGTGTGACCGCGGGCTTGTGAAAAATTGTAGCAGAGCAGAGACTTTAAATATATCAATACGTATCACTTGTTTTTCATTTTAAGTATCAACGTATCAGTATGGAATAATATGTCTTATATATAATCTTAAAACAAAGTTCAATATAGCATTGCTGAATATTTTTATTTTTTTTTTTAAATTTGGACTTTATTTAAATGTGCTGTTTATATATACATACGTCTTTACGGCACAATTAAAATATGTATACTTCCTTAATAGGTTAATGATTATCTAGGTTTCAAAAGTCTATATCAGCTGGGTTACTTGGCATACAGTTTAGTTTGACAAAAAAAAAGACAATAGAAGTTTATATGTATTTGCTTTCAAAATTGTTACTTAACTTATGAAATCTGTATGATTCGCTTAGAAATTCTATGTGCATTCGATTGACAACATCCAAAATATTTTACAAAGATAAATAATAAATTTTTATTGGTGTGGAATCAATTTTTTCGGCAATAGCTCACGCTTGATTCTCACCGTTATCGAAGCAAGATATGAAACAACTTGCTTCAGCGATAACGAGCGAACGTTTGACACACGAAAAATTTTATGATTTTTGACACCAACGTAGTTTTAAAATTGTAAACATCTCTGGCAAGTTTTTCAACTTCTACAGGAATTTTTTTTACACGATAGGAAAAGTATCAAAATTTAAAAAGAAGTGTCCCTCCGAAATGCATCGAAAAATCTATCACTTTTGATGCACTTGGATCAAAACGGTCACGCTTACTGCTTACCACTGATAATTTTCAAACATACATACATACATACATAAGTGTGTTAAAAAACCTTGGCTATTCTTTAAAAACATACATATTAAACTCCTGCGCAATTCCATTTAAAGGGCCTAACAAGACATCCGATCGCCGCGCAAATACTTTCCCTCCTTTACTCTCATCGTTCGGGTCAAGTGTGAGTAAGCATAAACCAGTTTCTGCANCATCAACATGTTGTCTTAAATGATAAGAAAAATATTACGACCATCTAACACGCAACTATTCAGTTGATCAGAAGTACGCAACACCGCGTTCAGAAGGTGCAATCGCACCAGTTACTGANCTCTTTCAATTTCACTGACCAGCGCTGCAAACGATATCAACTAGTAGGCTAACAACCAGAATTGAAATTTAATACGCAAGTACTTACCGTACTACAAGTATACAGAGAGTAGATTTGCTACTCCCTTTTGGCAGCAGCAAATATCTCTCGTACGCGATGAGAGAAAGTAGAGTACGTACTTTGGTGGAGTAATAGCAAGTACGTCAAGTATTTACTCTCTCAACGCCAAGTAGTGTATGTATGCGGAAAAAGAGTAACAATGTGTTGGGAGTAGAGTACAATGCAAGGAGTACTTATTGAACGAAATGCGGCAAATACACTTGCGCTGGACTCTAATACATATCATTGATTGCATTATGCAGTCCCAAGCACATGAATATATTCTAAATACCCTATTCTGGGCTGTTATCAAAAAATCAAAATCACACGAAATATATAACCTTGGTTTTGAGAAATAAATGTTGAAGTACTATTATACATATGTATGCATTTTTGTTTGAAACTTAAATGGCATTGTTTGCCCAAAAGAGCAAAAACCTTTCTATGGATCGTCTGGTAAATTTCCCCGTTCTAAGTCCCATTGAACATTTGTGGCAAAAAATCAAACGATAACTATCTCAACATAAGCTAAGAACTGAGGGACACTTTCTTAAAAAATGGGGTACGAAATTAGGGAGGAAATTTTGTAAAATCCTTGCAAGTGTTACCAGTTTCTTAGTTTTTAGTTCAATTTATAAAATCATGAGCAGCTTTAAAAAATATAGAAAAAGGCGGAACCTGTCCACAGGTGAATGTATACATTACATATGTACATATGTATGAAACCTTTAGGGTTTAGAAAAATAAGTCTCTCAAGTTAATAACCATTTGAAAAACATTTGAAGTACTTATAAAAAAGATGTGGTCCTTGAAAAATTTATTATTAGTCTCAACTTGTTTACAAACGTGATTATTCAATATGCTTCAACATAATTAAGGCCATCACTGAATCCAAGCAAGTGCAAATTTTCGTTAAATCTACGAAAATGATATCAGGGAATCCGAATTTACTCGAACGCAGCACAAACTTTGAATTCACATGTTCGTAGCGATTCAGATTCAGTAATCGAATTTTCGTAGATCTCACGAAAATCGGACTGCGATGGATTCAATAGCAATAGCAATAGCCCTGAACAACAAGAAGCTAATAAATACATTTCAATTTATTTTTTTCCCGAATTAATTTTACAGCCTTTTTAATTATTCTACACATGTATTTATTTCACAGAAAAAAAATTATGCTTTATTTGCCTCGCTCTTAATATGTCTACGTAGTCATCGTATTGTGCCTGATAGAAATTTCCAGCGATTGGTTCNCACATGTTCGTAGCGATTCAGATTCAGTAATCGAATTTTCGTAGATCTCACGAAAATCGGACTGCGATGGATTCAGCAATAGCCCTGAACAACAAGAAGCTAATAAATACATTTCAATTTATTTTTTTTCCGAATTAATTTTACAGCCTTTTTAATTATTCTACACATGTATTTATTTCACAGAAAAAAAATTATGCTTTATTTGCCTCGCTCTTAATATATCTACGTAGTCATCGTATTGTGCCTGATAGAAATTTCCAGCGATTGGTTCCCCTAAATTGTATTTGGCCATGAATTGCCTAGTATTTGCGTTGCGGCGGCTTTCGCGTATTGTACTAAAAAAAACAACAAAAAAATACTTAGGTTATTAATAATCTGCACATTTGCGAAAATTTTTGAACGCTTATGAGAGATCATATGCTCCTTTAAATTAAACTTACATCTTTGGAGTAATGTTCGTAGCATCAATCTTTCCCGCCTGCTTAAAGACCAGAAAAATGTAGCGATGCAGTCCAGTTCCCTGTGGAGGTGTAGAGCCTATATAAGCAGCAATAGTTTCACCTTGCGTTACTTTATTTCCTGGAATATTAACTACAAGCCAATGAAGAATTTCACGGAATGTGGGCTCAGCACGCGATGGTGCGTCTGGATCGACCATTATCAAAGTATATAGAGCATCATTATCTGCTTCCCAAGTAACTGTAGGTTCGTCCTTCACCTCAATTGGAGTGATTTCTTTGCCCAGCTCTACCTTTGCACCGCTTGGATAACTGACCTGAAATGTAATGACTCATTCTTATGTGATAAATATACATATAT